ATCTAGACAAACGATGGCGCGGGTGCCAGCTACAACGATGAGAACGCTGCGTGCCAAACGGTGTGTAGAACTAACATAAAAATGTAGGTCAATTTCCCACTACTCCACACGTCAATGTTGTTTTAATCTTACTACTAATTTAGCCTACTATCTCATGCTAATTTTGTATGCATTTTTTTTATAACAAAAAACTGCATATGAATAATAACATAATTATTTCTTTGTCATATTATATTATATTAATAATGTTGGAGTTTTCTAAGGTGACCATCATCATGTTAGAGGTGTTAATTCGAATAATTGGATCGGGTCTCATGAGGTCGGATCGGGTCGGGTCAATTTTTAAATTTGAGTCATGCTAAATTATTATGTCCACGCGAGTCCAAATCTGAATCGAATATTTTTCGAATCGATTTCGGATCAGGTCGGATTGGGTATGGTTTTGACACCTCTCATGTATGTCTATAACTAAACATATCGATTTTTAATATATTGACCTTTGTAAGGGAAAATTTTGCCAATCAATACTTGGGAGTTTGATATGTCTCATGCAGTCATGCTACTTAAAAACATTATAATATAATGTGTTTAGTGAATAGGTATTAAATATGAAGTATAAGCTAATATAAAGTTATTAACATTTTAATAATTTTAATCAATATTTAATTATATATATCAATGAACAAAGTATTTTATTACTAGCCTAGCTAGCTAGTAATAGTACTTTCAATGGATATTGAGCTCCTTTCCTATTTAAATAATTTCATGCAACTGTTGTACTTCAATTTGTGGTTTGTATAGAATCACAGTAAATTATTATGCTGTATAAATATATCACCCTAGCTTTAATATGTTACCTAAGTACGTAGAATATTTAGCTTAATGTACTGTAGTTACATAGTTGCTTTCTAGAAAGCGAAGTGACATGCCTACTTCCAATTGGTTAAATAACTTGGACTCGAATAACAACTCAAAATAATCGGACTTTAAAGCTGATTGGTTGAATTCACTCTCAAACAGAAGCCAATTTGAATGTCATAATAATAACATCCCAATCAAATGTCAATGCAAAGATGGATGAAGAGAACCTTTTCTCTTGTAATCTTGTGTTAAACAAGCCACTAATTTGGATAACCCAATTAATCAAAGCCACAAAGGAAATAAAATTGCTATAATCCCAATAGTGAGCAATTTAGAACTACCCATAAAAAAAAAAAGTAATTTAGAACTAACTTTTTGTTTCCATCTTTGATATTTGTGTTTCCATATACTTGTAATATGTATAGTGGTTATTTATTTTAACACTTTAACTTTTTTTTACCTATGTATTATTTTCATCTTATTTTTATTTCGAGTACAAAATACTTGAAATAAAATTTATTGTCGTTTAATTAATTGAATTGAGATACAAACCAATTTAATAACTTACTAAAATTGCTTTATTATAACCAATTTATTGATATATTACTATAGTCTTATGTTTCCTTTGCTTTCTTTCCTATGATTTATGGAAATAAATTCATAATATCGATACTATCTTATACCTAAAATACCGATATTTATCGATTAAAATTAACTTTATTGATTAAGTTGTACAATGACAAATAAATGTGCATGCAACGTAATTTTAATAGTTTTTGTGATCAAACAATTTTGTTGGACCAAATACTAATTAGCTTCAACACACTCTAAAACTCACAAACTCTTTTTTCAAACTATTTTGTCTCGAGTTATTTCAAAAAAAAAAAAAAAAAAACCTACACTATTTTGTCTCGTGAAACATCTCACGTGTACTCTTAAGACATTTGTTAAATAAGACAATAATATAGGACAAGTCATATAAAGCAAGCCAAAGAATTGATCTAAGACATCTTACCAAATTTTTACACTTAATTAGAACTATTTGTGACACATGCCTTTTCTTTTTATGCATCGTTTTTTCATATTGCTATTAATTTCTTTCCTTCATCAATAATACTACTTTTATGAATTGAAGCTCTAACGTTTTTTCCCCCCTTCAATGCTACTCTCTCTCACACACACATGCACACTCACATTTCTCCACATCGTTGAGGTTATACGATGCTTAAATTACATACTCCATGCAATGCAATCTGTACATTACAAAAGGTATGATTTATAGGAGAGGTTTAAGGACAGATGTATTTCATGTTTTGTAGTGTAAATCAAAGTTCTGGTTTGATAGAGCACATTCTACAAAAGAAGTTGATAATTTATGTTTTTATTAACAACCTCAATAATATATTTGTTAGAGTATATAGTTCATTGTCATAGTTTTCACTCAAAAATATATGGATAGGAGTTTATTTTCACAGCTAATAAATGTTGATGAAAATTATTAAGCCAATCAACATATTAATCGTATGCATGAGGGCAAAAACCACAGTACCAAAATAAATGAATGGATGGCAAAAAAACAAAAGGACTAAAATTAAAGGTGGTCCATAGAATATTAACACCTCTGGATATAATGTAAAGGAAGCCATATCTTATACCCTACCTTACTTATTGTCCTTTTAATTTGTAGATAAGATGCTTTCCTTTTTATCAAGTATCCTGAAGCTTTCTCCATGCTTAATTAAACCTCTAATTAGTTTGCTTTGGTATAATGATATAAAGTGTAAAATAAACGTTTCTATGCGTACTCGAATTAGTCAAGAAATTGATTTACAGCCTACTAGGCTACTACGTATTTCTTATTTGCATATGTCCACAATGGGTAGGTATAAGACGGCTTTTCAAAGTACATTTACATTATTTAATCTCCTTTTCAATGTATGTATCATAAAATTGTATTAAAAGTAATAAAAAATGTAAGTAACATATATAGTTGGTGAAATTTAGCTGATATTTTTGTGTACTAATTAATTGGCCAAGAGGGGTTTAATATTAAAAACATGCCTTATAAAAAGTATTGTCAAACCTTCCACATGGTATCCACAAAACTCATTTGGGTCCCTTTGCCTTAAATATGTGGTCTTTAGTTCAGTTTTTAGTTTCTTTTTTTCCATGTTGTTAGACAAACACACATTAATATTCAAAGGGAGGAGAGAAAGAAGGAAAATGATATTTTATTAAATCTAAATACGAACAACATCACTTAATTAATTGTGAATTCACTTTATTGATTCAAATTAACAATTGCAACTAACGGAAATTGATTTTGTAACACTTTTTATGAAAAGTAAAAAGAGCACAGAAAACCGTATTTTTACCATGAATCTACAACAATCAATTTTTTAGATGTCAAAACTGTTAATCTTTCATCTCAAATCATAAGTCATGTTAATCAATTCTATGTAACGCGTATCCAAATTGATATAAAAATTGTACGGTGTCATGGTAATACTTCTATTCCTGTTGTCGAGCATTCATAAAGAAGTTAGTTTGGTAAGACACGTAATAGAAGCATTCAAGTCCCACTTATAACATTTGGATCATACGATTCATACCATTAATTTGAACCGATGAGGAAAAAAACAACCGCAAATTTTGTCCTATACTTTTAAATATGTTACAATTTCCACGTACTATATAAAGAATGATGTTGAAGAGGTGCAAATTGGAGTAGATAAATCTTGGTCTTCTTAGTTTATGCGACAGCAGTTAGTTTTTGTTTGCTTCTATCAAGAATCGACGAATTGAAAGATTACAATTTTGGAATAAAGTTGAAAAAAAAAATTCCGAAAAGTTTATGCAAGAAAACAATTATTATACCATATAGTATATGATTATGATTATAACTATGTAAAATCATTGAATATCAATCAACTAATGATTATTGATTAATAACCTACTCAGTACACTTACTACATTAAGTTGGTAATATCATTAATTCATTATGCATATAGTAGTTAGCATAAAATTATTGGGAGAGAAGAAGATTTGACCAAGAAAAGATGATATCGGTTAAGGAGATTTGGATGATACTACAACAACTTTGCTTTTAAAAAAAGCGATACAATTTACGTGAGAAACCATTGTACATTTAATGTTTTGTTTTAAAAGTCGTGTATATATTTTATAAAAAAATCATGTCAACTAAATAGGGATGAAGGGACTAAGACTTAATAAGAATTGTATGAAGCATTCACGTACAATATAATACGTTTACATGAATGAAGTGTATGTGCACAAAACGAGCGTGCATGAGAAGGTGTGCGAGTGTATACCCCATTAATCCATCATACATGACTAATAGAGAATATAATGTCTATGCCTTTAGATGCATGGTATAAACGTTGTGTTAGCAAATTTATACACCATAGTCTTTTGAAGGTTACTACCAAAATTCAATAAAATAAATTTTTGTCATTTTAGTCGACTTTATAAGTCAATAGTCATTATTAAACAAACTACCTTGTATTTCTAAAGATAAAGTAATTATAAAATTTGTAGCATACGAAAGATAACGTTTGTTATTTAACAAAAGAAGCAAATCAGGCTGTATTATTATGTAACCAACTGCATCAACAGGATAATAATAGATTATGAAGTAGGTTAATCCACTCCTGAGAATCCTAGCAGCCATTGGCACCCCATATAAGAACAAGGGAGGCTAGCCACTTTTTAGGTGGTTTGGCACTTAGTTTAATTGTCGATCATAATATTCCTTTGGCTCATGAAAAGACTTGAAAATTAATAATATGATACAAAATCTTGTATACGACGATCTCATTGTTGATTGTGCTTGTATAAAACCTAAAATATACTTAATAATGCCTAAAAATATATGTATATGGTACATTTTACCATAAACTCTGTATAGAACATAAATATACACATTCACTTTATGCCAAGGAAAAGAACGGTACAAAACACATTCACTTCTTATAATGTGCACGTAAAAGAGAAAAATTAATAACCATATGGTAATGTAAAACAACAACAACAATAATAATAATAATAATAATAATAATAATAATAATAATAATAATAATAATAATAATAATAATAAAAACGAATTTGTAAGTCTCATGTCAATTTCCATGTAATGAAATCTTCATCAAATATGAATTTTAATTACAAAATTCGTTTCCCACTCAATACCGCCCCTCAAGTAGTGATAGGCGGAATGATAATCTAGCAACCATCGCGATGAATGTTATGATTAGACTTTTCTAACAAAATTACATCATTGACAACAATCATGTCCGACGGGCCTTTAGTGAAAGGTAATCATGTCCCTAGCATTCACATCTATTTAGTGTTTTCTAAAAGGTGTGAATGTTAGGGCCAATGACATTAATTACCGCTTAAAAAACAAGGCCATTAAAGTTTAATAAAGATATTTTATACTCTTTCGTACAAAGTTTCAGTTGAAACATAACATCAAGTAGATTTTCCCAATAATAAGAGGCTATTAATACAAACAAGTAAAATTACAAATCGCGCTAATAATACCCTATAATGTATCACTTCTAAACCTGTAAATTTAAGTAAATTGTCATTTTGCGCCTACAATATAAACTCGAATAATCATTGGACCTGCATAATAATAATAAAATTGATAATGTAACACCCAAATCAACCAAAATATATAAACAAACTTCAGAACTTTTGCCAACTCATAGTCCCACCAAATTAACACAAATCACACTAAAAGACACTAAATTACAGCTTCAGTTGTTACATTCTGAGCTTAAAGTTGATGACCACCTTTATTTTTGCCCAGAATCATCAGTTCATAGCTAAGGTAGAGCCTGATGATCAGACCTGATTAAGAATATTCTTAACAGATGATTAGCAACAACTTTCACCACCTAAACGCGCCGAAAATGGAGGAAAGTAAGATATTGTGCTGCTTTGTTCACAAATCATTAGCAGTTAAAAAAGGCGATAACTTAAAGAACAGCGTGACATTTTGGAACCATGGCTTTTGGTTATGATAATATTAATCTCCATACTAAAGCTTACTTTGGTAAATTATTGTTTAATCAAAGGCAAACACAAAAAGAGAGGGAAGGTTCTTTGAGTTGTACATTCTATTTGATCTTATTTTCTAGTATAATCTTGTAAAGGATAGGAAAAGGCTGGTTTCAAGACTTGACCCATATATGATCCGAATTCTCAAACCATACCCAAAATGATTTGTCCGATTTTACCTGACCCAAACCGAATATAAATGAACACTATTGATTTATATCATAACAAGCTAATTTCAACACTATTAATATGTAATCCAAACTGAATGACTCATCGCCCTAATAAGACCTGATAAAAATTAATTCAAACCGAACAACTATTTTGCCACCCCGAAAAAAAGGTTATAAACATAGTAAAGATGAAGGGTGGAAGAAAGGAAGTCTAACCAGTTCCCTTTAAAAACAATGCAAGGGAGATACAGTTCTTTTTAGCGGAACTTTCGCTTCTGTAAAGTAAGGAATCACAAGAATTATAACCAGTCTAAACAAAGCAAGATCCTCTGCGAGGGGCTTCTTACAGTTACAGATATATTACAAACCACCCTGAAGCAAAGAAAAGAAAAGAAATAGAGGAAGTTAAGAAGAGCATATCGAACAGTTGAAGATTACAGTACATTTTAATGCATAAAAACTAAGGACCCACATCAAATAAAGCTTCTGATGATTGAATGTGAGATATTGTTGTAAGTTGGTACCTATAAATTTAAAAGATGGGACACTTTACAGGACACATTTCCATAAAAATCTGAGTTTTTTCATGAACAAGATTACCAATACACAAATAGCAGTGTCGGTGAGGAGGGGTTTAGTAGCAGGGTAAACATACAGTTTTTGGCACATGTAGAGAAGAAGCATGCACCAAAAGTAGGGTTGATTATAGTCATTCAGCTGCATGAACATTCATTAGAATGAACAGAACGGTGAAAACTGACAGCCAACTGATTAAAGTTACTCAACCGAGCATAATTAATTTTGTCGATGTATGCTAAACGAATAATCTAATGCCTAATGGCTGATGCAAAGCTAAATCACAAATGAATGGCTCTCATAGCTTCAGATTAGAGATTTCTGAGAATTCATTGTAGATGAATAAAGCTATTCTTTGTCATTTTTGGTGACAGATCAATAACACAAGGTCCCCAAGTATCAGATTCTTTCCAAACAAGAGTGTATCAACCATCAAATTTACATGAAGTCCTGTGACAATAATGACCTGTTTATTAGGCGGTAGTATGAATGATGCAAACAGTAATGGATTCGAATGGAAAACCTCATGTCAATGTATATAGTAATGCAACTCTATATTCAGTCTTCACATAAGTTTCAACTGAAAATCACATTACCATGTACTCCAGCATGCGATTTCTATGCAAAATTATACACAGACGCATCACCATTACTGTCATATATAGCTATCTATCAAACGAGTGGTAAGATGTTACCAGCCATTTTATCCCTACACCTAGAAAATGGAACTGTTTAGTTTCAAGTCTTTCAACACAACTAAACAAAACCAACCACTTAGCAAATTTGCCTTAAAAAACAAACAAGAAATTATACAAAACAAGAATAAAATTTATAATAAGGTACTTGATATTTGTTAATGTAGTAGGGTTAGATGTAAAAGCTTCTACATTGTAATAGCAAGGCCGCACATACGTCTACCTAAAATTAAAAGCATTCACAAGCAGATACTTTTCTTGACAGAGATATCAAATAGGAAGGTTCTGGAGAAGAAAGTCCTATCAGTTGCACTATAAAGAGAACAATATAATAAATTCTCTACGATGAAGATCCAATTATCACAATAAAACAATGCGACCCCAGGTTGATAATGACTATATTTGAAAGTTAATACGATTATGAAAAGATCTAAAAGAGACAATATTATCATCAAATGATGTATTAAGACAGCTGGAATCTGTTCTAAGGTAATCAAGCAAAGTAGTCCCACAGACTCAAGTATAAAAGCGCCAAATGACAATTTGAGAGGAAGACAGTTTGACCCAAGACTCAAGAGTAATTTAGGTGTGGAAATTCAAATTTCTTGCACTGACTAGTACCCCAAAGACAAAAACAGTTAAGAACCTCAAATTACTCCTTACCATTAATAACATCATGAACTAAATAAATCCTAAAAAAGAGATAAAACGTGAACTTGTGAGCGAATACAAGCTTGTAAAGAGATAATTCTAGATTTCCAGAGGTTGAAATCAATATTTGAAACTTAAAGATAAGAGCATAATGACTGAAACAAGGAGTCACAGCGTCACATATATGAGATTAAAGACAGCATTTATCTAGAGGATGGACTTGAACATGTGGCCACCATAGTCAGGGCTCATTATACAAACAAAAGTCATTTTGTATCCGTATTTATGCTTCATTTGATCACAGTTTATAAAAGTCACTATAAACATTGTACGACATCAATACTAGCTAGCATGATAAACCTAAAGAGAAAAACTTTACAGCATTGTAGGAAAAGTAAAAGAAAAGGAAAAAAATGTGTTTGATACTGCCATTTTACATGTATATAGAATGGTTTGCAAGCACCTTTTTAAGTTTTAAAAACATTTTTTAAAAAAGGAAGTTATTCGCAAAAGAGCTATATGAAAGGTTAAAGGAAAAAAAATTGTCGGTGAAGTGTCTAAACTAAAGAATTGTTGCGTTATCAACATGTTCTTAGTATGATATCTTTGGTTATCAGATAAGGTTTGAATTCAGTACAGCCTATGTCACCACCCTATGAAGCAGTAAATAGCAGGGTTCAAATTGTCAGGTCAAACTCTATTCTTGTAAAATTCATATCAGAGGCAATTTAACAACTGATGATGCAATAGATCATTAGCAAATTGAGACAGATGAAGGTTCAGTTCAAAAGAGAATAAGAAATTCAAGACATACAATAACTTGATGTCTTGGACATGTTAATTCAGTTCTTCAAGCTTTGCAAAGACATGTTGTGATACAGTCCGTAGCAAACATCTATATTGAAAAATGAAATAACATACGAAGTATATGACAAATTCCTTTCACCCAAAATGTAAAATATTCTGATGTAATTCAGCCAGAAATCATCAAAAGACTTTAAATCTGATCACAGCCAAAATAAATCTCTGAAGATTGATACAGAAATTGTGAGAGAGAAGTGGTGTTCTCCTTTAAGCCCAATCTTTCCATAATAAAGGAAAATCCAAAGAACATGGTTCTCAAAATCAAGCAAATTAATATTAAGGAAGCTTGATCTCATTAATAGGGACAGAAGGTATGAATATTTCTTAAACGTTTAGTTATAGAGAGCATGAAGAAAGACCCTTTGTATTCACGAGTTGATAATATCGCTGCTCTCTTTGGAAAAAAAAATGAAAAAGAAAGTATACACAGAAAACATGAAGGTTTAGGAGTTGGGCACTCCAGTCTAGAAATTTAGAAAATAAAGCAAACACTTCTCTCATGCTATATGCCGTGTGAGCTCAAGATTTGATGCTCAACAGCTATAATCAGTGCTCAATACTCCCGGCTGTAAATAAAAAAAAAAGAAGTTGGACTTAGCCCAGGATCAGGTCAAAAAAGTTGAGCAGGTGGTATGTTAAGTTGAAGGGATTTAGCAAAACTCAAAACATTTTAGAAAGATTGGTTGTGGGTTGAGAGTTGAGGTTTTGGAAAGCTCTCATGAAAGATAACTTTTAATAACAATTGATATATCAATCGTCATGCATCATCATCATCAATGTAATAATTAAAGCCCTATGATCTATGAGTCGACGATAAATTCTACCATCATGAATCCTCTTTACCAATCATATAAACAATAATTTCTCCTGGAAAAAAGTAACTGCACTTCTTTGATGACTATTTATCCAGGTTTCCATAAGGTAGCAATCTCTGAAATACTCTTTTTTTGCTTAATCCACTATCAAAACAACATATAAATCTACATGCCCAAGGTTTGTTCTGTAAAATGAGTTAATAACATATAAAGCCTATTGATTGTTCAACCGCCTGTTAACTATAAGCGACCTAGAAACCTCCACCCCTCTCCCCCTCCCCCTCCTTCGAGATATTGTGATGAACTCTTAAAGGGCCTCAAGAGCTGTGAATTATAGCCTATAGTATTAGCTTCATCAAGGTAATAGAATCACAAAATACCACCTACGGATTTGGATCAAGTCCCAAAGCAATTTCTCTACTGCGTCCTCCACAACATAAAATGGATAACTAGGCCATACAGGATACAGCAACCTTTAGAAGATTATGTGAAGTCGGTCAAGGCAATTAAAGGGCTTTCCTTAATAAAATTTAGTTTCTTTTATCTTATTTGATTGATGATGTAATACAGTCAATTGACTCAATTCCATGTTCATATGCAAAAATATATTTGATGTAATACTCTTTGCGTACACCGACAAGCAAACTGTGGATTTTACTATGTCTACACTGCTAGTTTGGAGGCCCTGGTCCTCGGGATGGCCATTGGATGATACTTTGTCTTTTATCTTTGTTCTAGTGCAGAAATCTCCAGGCTTGGCATCTTTCCTTAACATGATTCTTATCTAAGTCTGATACTTGGAATTGGGTGATGCCTTTAACCTTAGTGTGGTGCAAAAATGTTTGATCATCTAACTTTTTCAAGCCAAATTCAGGCCACGGAAAGAACAGGCTACTCTAGCTGCTTGGCAAAGGAGGAAAGGGACCAAACGATGGGGCATATAGAAACTTAGCTTCGTGCCCTCTAATACGGCATATTATACTTGAATATGGAAAGAGTTAAGTTATTAATATACCATCTATGTTTCGGACCTATTGTTCTTCAACATCTACAAAGGTTCTTCTCTTAAAAGTATTCTCTTTACTCTCTTTCTACTTTAAACTTCAACGCCTTACCCTCCTCAAAGTGCAGGATGATAGGAGTCTTTTGCACTAGTGATTGTATTCACTCTCTCTAGTGGGTCAACCAACGGACCGTAACAAATTTCTTGACTTTCTTTCAATCCTTTTAGATGTCTTCCTACAAATGTAACCTTTACACATGCTCTTGGGCAACCTGATTGCAGGCTTAACCCTACACAGAATACTAAATTCACTGCTATAAAATTCCACAGTTGTACAGTACATTACAGTCACGAATTACAGCAAGCTAATTTAGAAAGCTTCTCTTCTTCTAACTCTAGATAAACAGTCCATATAAAGCTGGCAGGTTCCCAAGGTTCCTGATTAGCAATTTGCACTAACCTCAACTTAATAAAACTCAATTCAACAAAGGAAGCAGCTTTAACACTAAGTTGTTACATAACAACTTTTCTGGTGCTCTTTTACACATCCCATTCCCATCCTCCTATCTTCAAATCGCAACTTCAAACTAATATACACTAAGCAGCAACAGCAATAACCCGGTAAAATCTTGCTGCTGTCTTAATCTTAGGATTGTTCAGCCTAACTTAAATTAATCAATAGTCACTGCAACACTGCTAAATTGTCCTACAAAAATCAACTTTATAAACCCCAATTTTCTGCTTTTGCAACTTAATCACAGTAGTCTAATTCTACGCATTAGTATTATTCAATTGTGTTCGGCAAAATTCATTCAAGAAAGATAATTAATAAGATCATTCAGAATACAGAGAATTAACATAAACATATTCTAAAAACTCCCCTTTATGTCTTGAATTAGAATTTTCACTTCTAAATTAATGAAATTACTGAATTATGCAGGAGCCAGTAAACCCAAATAACCTCCTTTCTAAAAGAAGCAAGTAAATTCTATGCAATTACTGAATCATTTCTAAAAGAAGTATCCTTTTTACTGAATTATGCAGGAGCCAGTAAACCCAAACCCAAATAACTGAATTATTTCTAAGATAATCAAGTAAATTCTATGCAATTAAATCACAATTATAATTTAACAAAAAAATGGGGAAAATAAGAAAGAAATGGGGTTGAAAGAGAACGAACCTCCTCCTGCAGCAAACTTATGCTGAGGGCGGAGTATGTGCTGTTTTAAACCTGCAAGCAATTGTGCAACTATATGTCAGAGCAGATTAGAGTTAAACCGTCTAACTATTTTTTTTTTTTTTTGGTTCATATGAGCCACTTAGGGCGGGGATGAGAATCGATCCCATTATCACCTGGAACCGGGAGGAAAGCTCTTACCAACTGAGCTATCCCTCACTCTCAAACTGTCTAACTATTTAATTGGAAATGATTTTGATTTAATTTGCTAGTGCGATATAGGGTTTAGGTATGCAATTCGTTACCTAATGTTTATCCCTTCTAATTACTCGTTAAGTCATGATAATAAGTCCTAATATGATCAATACACAATACCAGACTGACCACCTAATTTTTTTCAGCCCGTTTAATGCTCTAAGTAGAATGTTGGGTGCACAAATAATTCCCAATATACCGGTAACAAGCCAAGTTAGGCCGGCTTGACCTATGCACAACTCTAGTTTCCGTCAATAATCGTGTGTAAATGTGACTAACATCACAAGTTTATACTCATAAAAGGTCATAAATAATGTTTTTTTTTTTTTATTTCCAATCTCATCAGGTAATGTCTTTCGAAATAGAGGAATTTTGTCCTTCACTTGCTACGCAGCATGCACACAATGATACTATGCACAATGTTGCAATTGCTATGGTAAGATTATAAGTTTATCTGTAATTGTACAATCTACTTTTGAACCAAACATTTCAATATCCATCTTGAATTGCCCAATTTCAAGCATTAAAGATTCAATCTTTAACAACCACCCAGAAAATAAAAAACGCCCTATTTAAATCCATCAACAATTTCTGAAATCTAATATTTTGAGCAATTAATTTTCTTCAAAAATCACACCCCAAAGACCAATTTACTAAAATCACACCCCAAAAAACCAATTTACTAAAGAAAAAAAAAAAAACTTTGTTCATTTATATTTTTTGGAGGCTCAGATCTGGATTCATCAACGAATTTGGTGCAGCAAAATTCAAGAAAGGGAAAAAAAATCAACCATAAGGCGGCAAATCAAAATAACTTTTGAGTCTAAGCATTTGACGAGAGAAAAATCACCAACAAATGCAAAAACACCAAATCTAAATTAAATTGCTGCCAAGCCAAATGGGAAAATTACCCAACTAAAAAAAATAGCCACAAATCCAAACTGAAATTGACAACAATGGAAAGAACAAAATCATCATAGCCTCAAAAAATTATTATTACTATTATTATTATTATTATTATTATTATGGTTTCATGTAATTTGTACTCCGTATAAAATAAGGGGGCGTTTGGTTAACGCAAGAAAAATAAGGAGGGAGTAGTAGTACTAGTATAATTGTTGTTGTTGTTGTTGTTGATGATGGTGATTTGAGGGCCGTTTAATTTGGTCGCAGAAATCATCGGCAAAGCGGAGAGTGGCAAACGGTCCTCAGAAACTCCCATGGCCTCTCCTTGCCTCTTTCTTGTTCTTTCCATTTACCCTAATTTTGATCACTTTGTGTTGCTTTTATAGGTGTGGATTTGTTGCTTTAATGGGCTTTGTTGGGCTGTTTAAAGCTTTAACTATCTAGCCATAGCTCAAATAATGGGTTTCGTGCTCAAGTGGGTCAAACTTAATACGTGCCGTGGAATGTCGTGGTTGTGCTCATATCACTATCTCATGATTCATAAACGAAGCTCGTGCATGGTTTGGCGGCCGATAGTGTTGTGCCACGCTGATAGCGAACCTCATTCATAAATGAGCAACGTGTTGAATTTCAAATATGATGTCCATGCATAGGCAATGGTCCACCATCGTGCCTCTCGTGTCGTAATAAGCTTATGATGGACTCGTCAAGTCGAACTAATTTCATTTCACTACCCAATTTAACCTATGTCTAACTATGGTAGTAAGGATATGCTATGTTCACCTGCTTTTCACTTATCTAAACTTATCCGAACTTAACTGATATGGTAACCCTTTTCAAAACTTATTTTTCCTGAACTTATTTAAACTTATTAGACTTGAAATAAGTGAAAATAAGGTGAACAAAACAGGTGCTAAATGTTTGTGAAGTTATGATTTGTTTTGATAAATGACCTTAAAATAATTTGTTTGATATAATAATTCCAAAAAATAAAGTTAGTGTTCACAAAAAGTGAACTAAATTTATATTTTGTAAACTAAAATTTAGGATTAATAAAGTACTCTGAATTACTTAAATTATGAGTTTTGTATTACAAAACTAGGCAAACGCCTATATAATATGGCTTTCAGCCTTTCATTATGAATTTCAACAACCATACAACATCATTTATACATTTTTCAAGCTCCAAAAAGAATAAAAACCTCAATATATCTTCTAAAGTACTAAAACATTAGCACATCTTCCCAATCCCTCCAACTCTCTTTGTTCCTCTTCTTTTAGAAGTAGTAGAACATTTTGCACCCATTCAGCCTCAAAGTATACTTGGGCCGACAATTGTTACAAAATTTATAAAGCCCACTTTAAATTTTACATGCAATAAATAGCATTCCAAATTTTCACTTCTTTACACAAAAATGTGTGGGCTTCATGCTTGTTCTTGCCCATTCCATTTACTTGGGCCGCCCAATCTAAATCTACAGGCCTCAACTGCATCATCAATTGACAAAAATACAGATTCTTTGCCAATTACATCAATGAACTTTGAAGCTATCAACTTCTCCATCACTTCAATCCTTGGATTAACCAATATCATCTGCATTTTTATGAGCAACCAAACTATTAGTCGCAATCTTCTCATACACACTATCAACACAATGTGAAGAATCCGATAAGTATATAGTCATCGAAAGAGATGAAAGAATTCGACTTACCTTGATTTCTTTTGCTCCTATGAGTCTTTTCAATTCGTACAAAGCCTCAATTCCGGTCATGTCTATAGTTGTCACTCCTGTAAGAAAACATCAATTTTATCACTTCTCCACCATACACGTCGATGATATAGTGGTAGCCGTAGCCCAAGCTTCACTGATTAATCTTTAAGATATGAAAATGAGATCAATGGAATTACCTCCTAGTTCCAAAATAAGGTGCTCAATGGAATCCCCTTGGTAATCCTTGTTGAATTCCTCATCTCTAATCCACCTTAGAACTCTGCATGACGTAAAACACAAGTATTTAGCTATAAGAACATCCTAAGAAACTATGGGGGCATAAACGAGTTTGATAATAATCACCTTTCTCGAACATATGTGCTGTTTGAGTATAAAATTGGGGAGCCTAGTTGAAGAATCAGGACTCCTGCAGTCCCTTGTGCTGTAGGGTACTGCTCTATGTCGCGGTACAGATTTGTATTAGGAAGGTTCCCTAACTTACAAGTTGCTGGCCTTGCTGTGTATAGTAGTGCCCTTATAATCCCCAATCCAATCTGCAAAATGTATGAATACATTAAACCAAAGAAGTAATATTTCTGAGTACATAAAAATAGCATCGAAAGACTCAGATAAACGAGGTTATTCTTACCGACATCCCAAGGCCAATATCCATACTGATGAAGGTGACTCCAAAGAAGGCAACCATGCAAATGCAGAAGTCAAACTTATCAACTTTGAAGAGGTGGTACGCCTTGTCATACTCTATTAGACCGAACATGGCGGACATGATGATTGCAGAAAGAGCAACCATAGGAGTGTAGCTAAATAATGGTGCCAAGAACAACAATGTCAGCATCATAATTATCGCCATCACCACGTTAGACATTTGTGTTCTGCATCCTGCATTGAAGTTTACAGCAGTCTTCGAAAATGGCCCTGCATATATACATCCATAAGAAACATATTTGTGAACATAAAATCCTGATCAAGTCCAACTTTTCGGAGTTTCAAAAAATTTAGACACACCTGTAGTCAAGTAACAAGAAGTAAATGAACCAACAATGTTCATAAGACCAAACGCTATCATCTCTTTGTTGCCATCAGTCTGTTGATTCTTCATTATCGCAAAACTTCTTCCAATGGCAATTCCTTCCTGTTACATTAGATTCCATACCTCAAATTAAAAAATTTCTTATACTGATTAATGAATTCAATTTATTTTTTTTATTAAAGCAAAGACGAATTAGTAGCCTTACAGCAAGACCGAGAATAGCTGTAAGTATTCCAGCTTTAATAGGTGTAGCAATGTACTTGGGATCAAAGTTCAATTGTTTAATGGAGGATGGATTAATCCCTCTATTCAAATGACCAACCTGCAATGTGCACCATCAATCGTAAATTCAATGGAAAAATCGTTTCTAACATAGGAAAATGATACACGTAACCCTATCCTATGAACAAAATACCAAAACTAAAAAAAGTCCAACATTCCAAAGGTATTGAAACATGCTAATCTTTGTCATAATTTTGCAACTTAGTACAGTACTAGAGTACACTTAAAACCCATCTATGATCATGTCTCTTTTATTGTTTGTATACTTAGATCCCGGTATTTTGTGAAATTTGTGTTATGGTCTTATGAAGTGTTTAAGACAATCTCATGTCATATTTTGCCTAGTCAATTAGAATATAAGAGCAGTAAATAACAAAATGTGGCAACTCACAATTTTGACACCAAATTTTTCAGCATGGGCAAGGTAGGCGAAAAGGCCGCCGATTATGACAACCACCAGAGGAGCCATGGCTGAAATCCAAAATAGCTTCGGCCTTTTGGTTTTCTGTCCACATAATCAAAGAAAGGATTAAAAATAAAAATTGGCATGCTAACATGATTCATAAAATCACGAGTTGTAGAATCTTTGAATTACATTACATTATATTTATCAACAATTATATTCCATACATCACGAGTCATACAGGGTCAAGTTTTGGACTGTCCAAAGATCCATTTATATACTATGCCAAAATGTCAATCAAGTGTTGTTTCGTTAACTCTTTCTTTTAAAAAATAAAATAAAATCAGTAGTAGGTAAGTATGATTATAGAGATTGTTACACCCTTTGTTTTTAAATAAATAATAAGGCGCATTGATTATGATGATATCCACGTTTATCTCTGTGATTATTAATCACATGATATTTTTGTGAATAAATTAACAACTTTTTCATTAAAGACGAAATTAAAAGTAGAATAAGGAAGAGAGAGAGAGAGGAGTCTAACCACGTATCTAGTGAACTGTAGGAAAGCCAGGAAGATTATACCAATAAGTGCACTCTGCCAATGCCACTGCATATACACCAAATAATTCAAACATTAAAAGTACAATTTATTCAATAACTGCTAATTTGACTATCGTTACAACATACAAAGGGGAGCGATGATCTGTTTTCTCAATCATGCAAGTAATGAGAAAAATTCAATTTTGCAACTTATAACTTTGGGTCCCACTTCATCCAACAAAAATCAAACAGAATTTGTTGAATGATCCAATACTAAGCTTTTACCATGTATTCAATCAAAAAAATTCATAAAAAATAATTTCATATATACTGTAATATCGAGTATTTTATATGTACGTTCATATGTAATACGGAGTAGAATTTAATTTAACTATGTCCTCACAAGGTGTATGCACTCATTTTTTGGAAAGAAGGTGTATGCACTTATTGATACATCTAGTTGTACATAAAAATAATTGTCATATGTCACGCACATTCTAACATAGAAGTGAAATAAATAAATAAAAAAAAAAAAATCTCAATTTTGTATTGGTGTGCTTTGAAAACTAAAGGAATTATTGTTAATAAAAACATAAAACGACGGAACAAAGTAGTAGGGCCTTAATCTTTTTATAATAATAATAAATTTAAAGGATAGAATTGAAAAGGTAAGATGTGTAATGTACCTCATTTTTGTGGCTGAGCAAAGTTTTCGTTACTGAGATAATATCAGTCTTAGCAGTAAAATGTGTTAACCCCAAAAATCCCTTTAACTGTTGCAGAATAATTATCACCGCTGTTCCACCCATAAACCCAGTAATCGTTGAATGTGATAGGAAATCCACCAGAATTCCTAATCTGCATAATAAATGGAACAAATAATTTATGTTAATAGGGTTCTTCGTGCAATTTAGGATTAGATTTAAATGCTTTATTGCACGGGTGTATGATACAATTAAATCTTAGCCCTCTTAACTAAAACATAAATCAATTTTTGAAAATACTAGATGTTATAAAGGGTTATTGATAAGAATCTAAAATTGGAAATAACACCAAAAGGCATGTTGTCAATCAAGAAAAGAAAACTATTAATGTGACGTGCATTGAGTAATTAACAAGATTGTTTTATTGGATAGGGGAAAATTTGTTAATATGGCATAAATATTCAAGAAAATTATACTAAAACAAAGATTTAATGTTGTCAACAATCTCATCAATACCATAATGTCACATTTGAGCATTAGTCATGTTTGAAAAATCTACATCATAGACAGATCACAATATCCTACCTAATTTTGATCCAATTTATACAAGTAGATAATTTGGAACACTAGATCAAATTCTCATTTCAAAACTTCATCACCTCCTTGGTACTTTTTTCATTATTTTTGGAAAATGATCGTTCTTGACATGCTAATTGGTCTCATAAAATCAGCAAGAGGTTGGTGGGACGTCATGGTATGTGGTTCTAAGTAGCCAACAACAACACTAGGAAATCACAAATTAATACCGTCCATTTGGTCTTTTTACATGATATACATAATAAAGTTTAA